ACCACCTTCAGCCGGTCCCAGGTGTGCTTGGCCCCCACCAGGTGCTCAGGCCCAAAGAGCCGAACCCGCCTGGGCCCCGTCCCCGCCCGGCTCTCGCTGGGGGACATCAGGGCTGAGGAGGGGAGCAGCACCTGCACAGGTGAGACAGGGACAGGGGAGACATCAGGGCTGAGGAGGGGAGCAGCACCTGCACAGGTGAGACAGGGGAGGGCAGGGAAGGGTCAGGGGTTACAGGTGAGGCTCAGGAGCCCCAGGTGAGGCTCAGGACAGACTCAGGACTCACCTGGAAGTCCCCCCCGGCCGAGGACCCCCCGAGCACTTCCACGAAAGCGGCTCCGTCATTCCCGATGTGCAGGGAGTTGATGGGGCGGGACCCCCCGAGCTGGGGGAGAGACCACGGTGAGACCCCTGGGAGACGCCCAGTCCCCCCCAGCACCACGCTGGGCTGCTTCTCAGTCCCTCCCAGTACCTCCCAGTCACCCCAGTGCCCCCAGTCACCTCCAGCACCACGCTGAGCTGTTTCTCCCCGGCCGCCGCCCCCCTCCATTTCCCCCCGCCGTCGGGGTCCAGCAGGTTCTGCGCCGGGTGCCGCTGCGGGGACACGCGGAGAGGGTCAGCGCGGGACCCCCAGAGCCTCCCCGGCCCCCCAAAGCCCCCCAGGCCCCACCGGGTCCTCGCTGGACACGGACACGACCCTCGTGAAGGGGATTTCGGGCATCGCCCCCTTCGCCGCCATTCACCGGAAACCGCCTCAAGGCTCCCTCATGGAGCCGCTCTGCGCCGCCGCCCCCCCACTCTATGGTAGCGGCACCGTATCGTGATTACTGCGCATGCGCTGGAGGACCCCCTGCCACCGGGGTCCTCCAAGGATGGGGGGGTTTCCCGCCCTTTTTTTTCGCGCCGTTTTTTTTGCGCCCTTTGTTGAGGCGCGAAGCCGTGAGGGGAAAGGGGGGGAGGGACGACTGGGGAGGTAATTAAGGGATAAAAAAAGGGGTTGGGGGTAATTAAGGGTTGAGCACTAATTAATTAAGATGCAAACAAGGCATTTTGGGGGTTTCCAGGGGTTTTATTGATGCCCTGACCCCTCTCCCACTCCATGCCAGTCCATCCCAGTGCTCCCAGTTCAGCCCAGTAACCGCCCGTACTCGGCCAGGGCTGACGATTTCTTCACCCCGTCCCAGATCCGGGCGGCGTAGTGGAACCTGCACAGGTACGGACCAGTATGGACCAGGACAGACCAGCACTGGTCAGACATGCCTTCCCAGTCCCAGTTGCCTCAGTCCCCCTCCCAGTCCCTCCCAGTTCATCCCAGGGCCTCCCAAACCTCCCTTCCAGCATCTCCCAATATTTTCCAGTGTCTCCCCAAACCCCTCCCAATCCTCTCCCAGTGCCCCCAGCCCTCTCCCAGTCCTTCCCAACCCCCCCCCCCAGCCCCCCAGTCTGACCAGTTGCGCTCGGTGAGCAGGCTGTGGGATAACTGGGACCGCGCCGCCGCCAGGACTCTCCCCCGGAGCCGGGCCAGGAGCCCCCCGAGCCCCCCCCCGGCCCCGGAACGGGGGCAGGGCTGGGAACAGGGCCCCCCCTCCGCCTGGGGGGACACACTGGGGTTACTGGGAGGGGTCTGGGGGGGTCCCTGGTCCATACTGGTCCGTACTGGTCCATACTGGTCCGTACCTGCCCGCGGGGGGGGGGTCGTCGCCCTCGTCCTCCAGAGGGGGCAGCAGGAACAGGTTCACCTCGGCCTCGGGGGGGCCTGGGGGGGCCCCCAAACCCCCTGGGAGCAGCTCCCGCATCGACAGGGACCCTGGGGGACCCCAAACCCCCCAAAAAAACCACCTCAGAGACCCCCAATCCCCCCAAAACCACCTCAGGGACCCCAAAAACCTCCAAAATCCCCCCAGAAACCCCCCAGGGACCCCAAGAGTCCCCCTGGGACCCTCAAAAATCCCTAGGGACCCCCCAAACCCCTGCAAAAAGCCCCCACAGGACCCCTCAAAACCCTCCCAAAGCCCCTCTAAACCCCCCCAGACCACCCCAGGACCCCCAAATCCCCCCTACCCCGGTACTTGAGCCGTGAGTGGGCCATCAGTCGCCCCAAAACTTGCTGCATCTGCCCCAGCCGGCGGGGGGAGAAACAGTCGGGGGGGGCCCGAGTCTGCACAAACACTGGGGCAAAAAACGGGGGTTATGGGGCAAAAAATGGGGGTGGGAGGGGGATTGGGAAAAATGGGGTTGGAATTGGGGGTTGTGGGGCTGGAGAGGGGGTTTGGGGTGGCTGTGGGGCTGAGATCCGTGGGGCAGGATCTCTAGGGCAGGATCCATGGGGCAGGATCCATGGGGCAGGATCTCTGGGGTAGGATCTCTGGGGTAGGATCCATGGGGCAGGGTCCATGGGGGAGATCCATGGGGCAGATCCATGGGGCATGGTCCATGGGGCAGGATCCATGGGGCAGATCCATGGGGCAGGGTCCATGGGGGAGATCCATGGGGCTGGGATCCATGGGGCAGATCCATGGGGCAGGGTCCATGGGGCAGATCCGTGGGGCAGGATCCATGGGGGAGATCCATGGGGCAGGATCCATGGGGCAGGATCCATGGGGCAGATCCATGGGGCAGGGTCCATGGGGGAGATCCATGGGGCTGGGATCCATGGGGCATGGTCCATGGGGCAGATCCATGGGGCAGATCTGTGGGACTCACCCAGGTGTGGGTAATACTCCGAGGGCTCCTCGGCCCCGGCCCCGCTCGAGTCGTGGCTCGGGGAGGGCGTCGGGGGCTTCACCATCTCGGCCGTTTGCAGGAACCTGGGGGCAAACGGGGCAGTTTGGGGGCGTTTGGGGACAGTTTGGGGACAGTTATCGGGCAGGTTTTAGGTCAGGTTTGAGGTGGGTTTTGGGTCCCCACCTGTAGAGCCCCAGGTCAGTGAACCAATCCTGCACCAGCAGCACCACGTGGCACACGGTGAACAGGAAGGCAGCGATCTGCAGCGACTGGTGAATATTCATGAGCACAATTAGCATACCCGCCCCTCATTAGCATCCCCGGCCCCTCCCACCCCCGTGTCCCCGCCCCCTCACCTGTGTCTCCACGTAGGCGTGGGGCAGCGCGAACTCCGGGGGCAACTTCCGGTCATTATTGATCAGGTGGTCCAGGTGGGCGGGGCTAAGGATGGGCTGGGGGCGGGGCCAAGAGGGGTGGGGTCAGTGGGAGAGACCACGCCCCCATATGGTAATGAGGGGTAGGGGAAAGGAGGGGAGTGAACTGGGGGAATTACGGTAACGGGGTAATTATGGTAAATGGGTAATTACGATAACTGGGGTAATTATGGTAATCGGTAGTAAATACTGTTAATTAGCGCTAATTACCTGGGTGTCCAGGAAAAGCACCCGCTCTTGGGTGACGAACAGGTCGATGCCCCCGGTCTGGGCCCCGCCCCGTTCCCGCAGCTCGGGGGGCTGCGGCCGGAACACGAACGACCTGGGGGGCAAACCAGTGAGACCCTCCCAGTGCATCCCAGTGCATCCCAGTGCCCCCCCAGGAGCCCAGAACCCCCTCCCAGTCCCTCCCAGTCCCTCCCAGTGCCCCCCCAGGAGCCCATAACGCCCTCCCAGCCCCTCCCAGTGCCCCCAGTACCGCGGGTCCTCCTCGGGCTGGTTCCCGGCCAGCAGTGACAGCACCGTGGACTTGCCCGTCCCCTGCAGCCCCAGGGCCCCGACCACGAGCACGTCCGTCTGCTCCATGAGGAACTGGGAGCACTGGGAGTCACTGGGAGGGGTCTGGGACACCCCCAAACCCCTCCCCACCCGCTCCCGGACCCCCCGTCCCCCCCCACCTCGAGGGCGCTGTCGCACCAGTTCATCTGCTCGTCCACCAGTTTGATACTGGTTTTCATCTTCTCGGGCGCCGCCAGCCGGGCCTGGGCCTGGGCCGCTGGGAGGGGGCGGGGCCAGACAGGTGGGGCCACACCCACTGGGGCCACACCCCCTTTGGGGGGACACACCCCCAATCCCAAACCCCTCCCCCTCCCTTTATCCGAACTCCCCACATTCCAAGGTTTTAGCCCCACCCACTTGAGTCTGACCCCGCCCACAAACGATGACCACGCCCATCACCATTACCTGCGCCCCCAAACCCTTAAACCCCGCCCCCTCCCTCTGTCCCACCCCCCTGAGCTCAGTCCCCTCCCTTGGCTCCACCCACAACCCTAAACCACGCCCACACTTAGCCACACCCACCACCTTTAACCACACCCCTCCAGCCCCACCCCCTTAGCCCCACCCAGTACCCCAAGCCACGCCCAAAAACATTTAGCCACACCCACAACCTTTAACTCCTCCCCTCCTACCCCACCCACCCCTTAGCCCTGCCCCCAAACCACGGCCCCTCCCACAACTGACCCCGCCCCTTCATTTACATACTGCAACCCCTCCCACAACTGACCCCACCCCTTCATTTACATACTGCGACCCCTCCCTCGTTGACCCCGCCCCTCATTGACACACCTCAGCCCCTCCCCCTTTAGCCCCTCCCCCTTTTGAGCCCCCACTCACGGTCGGGTGCCCCCGGGGGGGGGAGGCCCCTCCCGTGCAGTTGGTACATGGGTTGGGTGGGGCGGGGCCCCTCCCTCTCGGGGGGCGGGGGCTGCACCGGCCCCTCCCCCTGCGAGGCCCCACCCCCTGGGAGGCCCCGCCCCTCTTCACCCCGCGCCTTCATCAGTACGATGGGCGGGGCCGGTGCAGGAGGGGGCGGGGCCTGCAATGGTCCTGCCTTCTGGGTGGGCGGAGCCTGCTGGGGACACGCCCACCCAAAAATGATGACATCAGAGCGTGTAACTCCCAGTCCTTCTCAATTCCCTCCCATTGCCCCCATATAAGGTCATAATGCCCTCCCAGTCCCTCCCAGTGCCCCCCAGTCCCTCCCAGTGCCCCCCACTCACCCGTTCTCCGGGGGGCTTCGCCAGGATGATCGGGGTCTTCTGGGGGGGTCCTGGGGGCTCCTCCCCCACCTCCTGGGGGGGGGGAAACGGGGTCAGCAGGGTCATGCCCTTGGCTCAGGCCACACCCACCGCGAGCTAACCACGCCCACACCGCTATAACACCGCCCACAAGGCTCAAGACAGGCCCCGCCCAAAGAACGAGGCCACGCCCTGTCCCACCCTGCACCTGCCAATCATCCCAAGCCCCGCCCACCCGTCTCTCGGCCCCGCCTCCTTCCGGCTCCTTCTCGCGGTTCCAGCAGCGCCTGCGCGCGGCGGGGGCGGGGCTTTGCCCCGAGTCCGACATCCGGGAACCCGCGGGGTGTCTGAGGGGGCTCTGGGTGCGCCCGGGAGGTCCCGGGGGGTCCCGGATCCCGTCGGGGGGGTCCCCAAAGGTGCCGGGGGGTCTCTGTTCCCCCACGGGGGTCCCGGAGCTTTTCCCGCCTCTCGCCGGGTCCCGGCTCCGGCGCGGGGAGGCGTGGCCAAGCGAGGGGGGACTGCGCATGCGCCGATAGGTGACGTGTCTATGATTGACGCCCAGCGGAGGGGGCGTGGCCAGCAAAAGCCACACCCTCGCAGGATTTAAAGGGCCAGGTGCCCTTTTTTTTCCGGGGGGTGCTCCCCGCACCACCTGATGCGATTTTTCGCCCCCTCCCCCCCAAATATCCCCTTTTGTCGTCGTCCCCCCCTCCCCAAAAATAAACGGCAGGGCACCCTCGTTGTGGTTTTTATTAACGGCGAAATAACCAGTAATTAATTAATTAACAGCTCGGGAAAGGGGGGGAAGGGGAGGGGGGGCCGAAGG